AAATACTGATTGATATTACCAAAAATGCGCTTTCATCGTGCATATGCTGATTTACAACTTGTTTTTATTTTGAAGCTTATAGTAACAGCACCTCAACATAAAAAATGACACCAACTGATTACTCCTGCGCCTGACCAGCGGCTGGTAAAATTAAAACCAATTCCCTTTATATCATTTGTTAGAAACAACACTTAGACTTAGGGTTTTTAGTGTTAGATTCCTTACGTAGCAACCTGGTACTTATATTTAAAAGAGAGTGTGCGCATAGTTTGCTCGTGCACAGGGCAACTTTTGATTCATTAAGATATTCGCATGCAATATTACTCCTCATTACACCTCAAACAATAGTAAAGTCGTTACCAACAATATGTTTCGTATGCATTGCACGCGAATTGGCGAGTAAACCTTTTTTTATTGCACTATTTCTGTCAAATTTTAACTGCAGATACTCTCAAATAGCGCTATACTCGAACCAATGTCGTTTTTCGCATTGCTTTAAAATTTGAACCGTGTTTCTAATAAACGCAAACATCGCATCGCAAAATTTTGCTGTGGCTACTTGGCTAGCACAGATAGCACCTGCGCATGCGCGTTCTGTCCAAATACGTTTAAGCTCTTTCTTTTATATGTGTAACAAATTTGGTTCCAATCGGTTCAGCAGTTTAGTCGGAAATGAGATTACAGATGGACCGACAGACAGACCGACATCATCGAGATTTTGTTGGATTCGAATTCCTGATGCTTCATAATGTGTATTTCCGTAAAAATGTGAGGCGTCATTATTTACCCCAATGCAATGGTAAAAATCAGATGTGCGCATGCGCAGACTACGCCATGTCAACTTTAAGACACATCTTCGAAATTTTAACCTTCAAGTACAAAAAAGCGCAATAGTAAAAATGAAATGCGCCGTGCGGAAACTGCTCAATGTCAACTCCTTAGTTATTGCTTGTAGGTATATTTTTTTTGAAATTTTAAGATGCATTTAGTAAAGGTTTACATATCTCATATTGTAAACATCAGGTTTACGTTTACGCTCAGGTTTACGTGTTAAAAATTACACTTTTTGGATGAGCTAGCGTTGGACGCACTGTTGGGATGCTTTGCTATGATTGGCGACTTTTTGTCTTACGTTTTCTCGTTTCTTTTTTTTGCGGTATGAACACGACAAGAAGTTCGTACGAAAAAAACAAGACGAAATGAGATAACAAGACTTTTTTCCCCATGAAGATAAGAGGTCGAGGAGGAGGGTAATAGTTATGCACGTTTTACTTACAAAAACAGCATCTCAAGAAATAATTCGAGGGGGAGGCCCCCTTTTATACAGCGAAATTTGATGGCCGTTTGGCACACCTTCAAGGTATAGGGTACCTACTGCAAAAAATTCCAGGACTCTAGGACCATTCCCCTAGGAGTACCTAGTTCAAAACGGTAGAAGTGGGTCCGGACAGACGGACAAAACGCAAACAATAACCCATTTTTTTTAATTCTTAAAAAATGCTTATACCCTTTTTTTGTTTCATGGACTTTATAAAAAAACTGGATTTGTCATTGACTATGGGACAAATAGTGCTTGAAAGACCTTGCAATTAACACCTTCTTTGAATAGGCGTCAGAGATCAATGCTGCTATGTACCAAAACTAATAGAATTGCTTAGCTATAACACTAACTAATATTGACCCAGAATATGGAGATGGATGTAAATACAAAAAAAATATGCGAGATTACCAGACGATAACCATGACTACGTGGTAGCCCGAAACAATACAAACTCCTTGTTTTTGAGCCAATTGAAAACAACATGCTTAGAGTTTCTAAAATGCATTCATAAACAAATAGATTCAAAAAATATTTGCAAAAACACAGTGAAATTACAATTTCCAACTTCGAAAAAGAGACCTAAAGATATTAGGTTTGGTTGGGTGAGAATGAGGGTGCTACCCGTAAGTTGATAGTACTATTTTTCTGGTATATTAGTGAATTTGGTTCTTAGAATTAATCTTTTACGAAATTTATATGGTTGGTTTGTTCCTTTCGTTGTTGCTTAATCTGCCAAACTACTGATTCAGTTCCTACTCGTTTCCTGGTCTTCTCTTTCCCTATCCTGCCTCCGTGGGCCCATTTCTTCATAATTTCTGTCATTTTGGTTCCTCCTAGGTGGATTCAGTTCAGATAATTTTGATTTTCTAATTTCGTTCCATAATTTTGTCTAGTGTCTCTTCTACCCTGTGTTTCTCGGTTTCAGTTATCTTACTGATTATTTCTTCTAAAAGTTGGATTGTCTTCTTGTATCCTTTCTAGCCTGTTGACCAGATTCTGGACTGCCGTTTCTCCTATCCAGTACCATACGTGGTCCACGTATCTTCCCCTTATTATTGTTCCATTGATTGCTTGTCAGTTGCGACCAAGATTGACATCGTCTTCCAATAGCTCCATTACACTGTTGGTCAGCGGTCTCGAAATTCTTCAAATAATTTTCTAACGCTTTCATAACATTTATAAGATGGCAATTTCTAAGATTGCCTTTGATGGTATAGTCCGTTTTCTGAAGATTTGGAAAACATTTAAATGAGGAACTTTGAATGTACCTTGCAATTAAAAACGTACAGTATACTAAAATACATAGAACATAGAATGCATTGCCTGTAAGTGCCCACAAGTCATAAGGTGAGTCAATAAACGTAAAGAAACAACACTGTGTTTCCAGTGGAGATAGAGTTCGCTGCTTAGTTACAAATGTTGACCGCTTTTAATTAGATATAAATCTGTATTTTAATTACCTACCTTTAAAAAATTGAAAAGAAAATAAAGTTACAGATATATCTTGAATTTAGCAAAAACGTTCCCCAATTTGTTGCATTTTGAAAAACAGTAGAAGTTAGTTTTTCGAGTAATTTGCAGGAATAGAGGCATATGTTTTATTATCAAAATAGACATTTTAGGCTACAGTTCATTTTGCTAAGGTATGATAGGTAAAAGGCAAATAACCCAAAAAATTTACCTTGATGTCAATGTTCAAAGTGAAAACCTAAAAATCGAAAAACATCACTTGAACATACCAATTTCTCGCATCAGATTAAACAGTTTGCTTACTTGGCGAGTCAAATTTATTATCATTATGTTTATCTGATTATATATCCTGGCCCCCCGTCAATTCGCGCTACAATGAATATGGCCCACAAAACAGACACATATTTGATAACCGAACATAATCTTTACCAAACTTCCGATTTAGTTAGAAGTATGTACAGATATCCCCCATGACGACGTCCGTCATCGACTTTGATCTACATACAAGAAATGACATACTCAAAAGATACCTAAACTATGGACACAGCTGTTAGTCGTACGTAAAAAGCGAGCTTTGTATCCCATCCCTCATATCTGGAGAATAAATATCAGATCGAACGACTATTTTTCCTACCTATGAAATATGAAGATAATGTTTCTGCAACAATAGCCAATATTGTGTAATCGTGCCTACTTTGTTCTTGAAGAGTTATTTATTCACCGAGTTGTCATTGTGGGTTTAAATCTCACGATATTTAACAACCCATTCAGAGAGAATAACGCTTCGGCTGAATACATAATACATGAAGATCATCGGACAATATAACTAAAATCCACTTTGAACGAATTACCCTGTCGTCTTCTAACATTTATTGCTAAATCGCATAGTTTCAGTATTTTATTATTAATAATATGTCATTTACAATCGATAAGGTACGACGATGTATTAACGTAAAAACATTTTACATAAATTTACTATTTATTGAAGTTGGCGACAGAGATTGAAGGTTATAAATTACTATAATGGGATGATTAAGCGATTTCATTTGCATAAACTTCCTATAAATAATGGAAGTGTGCTGTAGGCCCGTTTTGTTAGTAAATTAATAAATATAATTATTTACGAAAAAATCCCGAGATTTCGCCCACGTTCGCGTTAGATTGGATTAGGAAAATGCCCGCCTTTCATTTGCCTTTTTCATAATCTTAATTTTAAGGAAACTGAATTTATCGTGTGAGCAAATGTCGTGACTAGGCGGTTTTAGTTAACACAGGTTAAATGTGGTATATTAAATAGCACTGTTACTTCTGACGTGATCTGCTAACATCCTCGTTTTTCTTCGACATTTTTGAGGTAATGCTCAAGTTTATATTCTTGTGCTAACAGCGAACCGTTAAGATTTTGTTTACCGACGATGGGTCAAGATGTGCGGAATTCACAATTGCAAATTAAGCTCGAGAGGTACACGAATTTAATTTCTGTTGGTTGTTTCGCTTGGAAGGGTTAGTTTTGCAATAAAACAAAACGTGAAATATTGGAGTGAACGCCATAAAACAGCAAGAAGGGCATTTAATTTTCTGTCGTCGTGGGGGTTCATTCTTATGCTTTTTCGCGTCGTGTTAAAATGTTGCCTTCGCTTATTAACTTCTTTTGTTGTCTAACAATTACCTGGTAATTATTAAATATTTTTCAGTTTTAGCTCTAACGTTTCGTACCGTTTGCGGCAGCACGAAGTTATAAAAGGTTCGCTTTTAAACATTTTCAAGCGTCAAAACGTCATTTCTAATACGAAATGGCCTACCGGAGCTGAAGGATGGCGAGCTTTATGAATATTTATGTATGCTTGCGCAACATGTAAAGTAGTTTAATTTTTAACGAGCTTGTAAATGGATTTCTTCAGATCGAACCATTGTAAAATTAAGCCGAAAAATTGACGAACAATAAAAAAGATTAATTTCCCAATCACACCTCGCCACTGCCTTGCTAACATAATCAATATTTATGTAATACTTCCTTTTCCAACGAAGATTTCACAAACGTGACTCATAATATCTCACACATCCATTAGTTATAGAAATTTAAAATAATTTCAGCAAATTTATTAGTGGGTAGTGAAATACTATGAAATTCTTGCATAGTAATATGCCGGTCCACACGCCGCCCGTCTTCGTCGATTGCATAATTGAATATATTTTATTATTGTTTCAGAGATCCTTCACGCTCATCCTTCAGGCTGTGGACCATAGCAATTTTACATTACCAAGTAAGTATCGTTTTATTACCGAAATTCGTTTTGTCCTTGCCTTAAGTCAAATAAAGAGAGAAGGTTATAATTAGGGCGTCGAGCTTCCAACTTGGTCAAAATGTTATACACCCCTCGGGACAAACGTGCCTTGTTAATAAAGCTCATTCCCATCAGCATCACATTCAACCTACTGTTTATGATTCATAATACCATATAGAATTAAACTCTGTCATCAATTTTTTAAGACATCATTTGTACTATAATTGCAATATATCTTATTGTTAGGGTATTGTGCAAGTGATTCTTTTAATTTATCCCACCAACTCATTTCATGTATACTTGGGTGGCGTTAACGTGCAGTACATTTGATAATTCCGTATTCGTATAACCATTGAATAATGGTATAACGATTTGATTTGATTTGATGTAGCTCGATATTTCAGATTTCACGAAGGATGGATTCTATTTTAATGTTTTCATCTTCATGTTTTTATTTTGGATGCACCATGTTTTACAGTGTAAAGTTACTGTCCCTAATTTTTATTGTATACTACCATTGAATAAAGAATCAGATTTATTATTCAATGGTACTACCACACACACTATCCAAAATAAGAGATGAATTCAGCGCTACATAAGGTCCAGAATTTGGAGTCAAATGTTTTTTCTCAGTCTCGGAAGTTGGAGCAGCAAGTGAGAACTCAAAAATTGTTCTTTGAGTTTTTGGAGACGAGGTGACGCTGTTAGTATAGTCTCTATCAAGTCCGCTGAAGTCTAAACAAACATTCTCTCTAAATAAACCAATAGTTCCAAATGTTTCCTGTGGGAAATACGTCCCCTAATTTGCGACTCGTCTTTAATTTTTTCGTAATACATACAAGGAACTATACCTACGTAATTGATTTCAAATTTCTTCCTTCACGATGGTGTACTTATTTTTAGACGGAGTGTAAAAAATGTTGATAGGGTCTTTGAACAAGAAAAACGTCAGTGAGAACTCCCAAAGACATACAATATTTTAAAATACCTTATAAACTTTATTGACACTAATTAAGGGGAAAGTTTAAATAATTTCGATTCTACTCAGAGGAAACCTGCAGTGATCATTGGATGGCGAAATTTAAGATAAGTCTCAGTGAACCTGAAATTATTTGAATTTTCACATCCTGAACATTTTTACTCTAACGAACCTCTCAATGGGACTTTGTCGTTCTGTATCACTACTAGTCACCTAGTTTAAGCTTTTTCGTTGTGGTTTCTTTCTTATACGGTGTAGTACAGCCCAGCGATCAGTGTCTCCGATCACCACATCTATCTGCCTCCCCCTAAAAAGTTCTACTAGAATCCGCGTTACCTTATGTTCCATTTATAAGGAGAATGGGGAGAATTCCATCTCCCCCGGCTGATTTATAAGGCTTGTGGCAGCCTATTGCCCAGCGGACCCTGTTTGGGGTGAATATAATTATATGGCCACTAAGACCGTTGTCAAATTTTTTTCGCAGGACAGGGGTTCGCATTTAGAGCTGAAAAGTTTCTCTAGTTGAGCCCGTGTGTTCCCTGTTTGGTTCCATTATGGTTACCAACGGATTGTTCATCTCTTTTGAGAAGACTTCCGTAGGCTATGGGAATTTCTTCTGTCGTCGGACAGACTCTTTCCCAAGACGCTCTTTTTGGCTTTCGAGTCGCTTTACTGTACTCGGAGAGGGACGTTCTATATTCATCCAGAAACCCAATGCGCTTGGCTTTGTTAAAAATTTAAAAATTATTATGGTTCCACCGCCCTCCTGCAGAGTTCTGAGGTGTTACTTTTCAAGAACTCCTCGTACAGTGCCAAATATGTTGTACGAGGATCTTGGTATGAATGTTTCTCTATCTTTATACTAAAGCAGATTTGTGGTGTGATAGAGAGGACTCATCAGAGGGGATGGAGGATCCCATTATTCTACCTGCCAGAAAAGAGGAAAAGGTATTAATATCTAGGAATTTATATCCGTGCTGACCCAGTGGAGGTGATGATAGTTGGCTTCATATAAGAAGATGTGGCGGCACTGCTGCCTCACTTTCCCCCGGGAAGTATGCCGAAGCACACGCTATTTTGGCAACACCGGTGTTCATTGGCGCTTCGACCACCATAGCGACTAGGTCTTTTCTTTGGTGAACCTTGTGGTGGCCGCTATCGCCATGTGCAGGTTCATCCTTACGTCCCCCGGGATGGTGATGTAAATAAGGAGGGACGACCCTTATCTTGACCCTGTCGGTGTATTTCACTTGGGCTTGCTCGTCTAGTTGAGGCAGTTGTTTTCTCCGATGCCTATTGGAGCTACCTTGGTGGGTTCTGCTTTGAATGTTCCACCAGAGCCTTCTTTAGGCTTTAAGGGCCCAGTCCATTCATTTCCCTTCACCTCCTCCCTGACAAATTATTCAGTCCAGTGAAATCGGCCTTAGTAATACATAATTCCGTGTACAATGGCAAACGGTCACCAAACGGCATTCACGATAAAGAAGAATCCTAATGTTGACTTTAAATTTTATTAATTTGGAAGACATAGTGGTCTCGATTAACTCTCGACAATTCCAAAGAATTAACTAAACAAATTTTAATTAACATAATTGACATAATTCTTGTTCACATATAGAAAAATCTGACATGAAAACTCTATCTGCCGCATTTTGGATTCAATTACACACAGCTCATTAATTGACCAAGACACAAATTTATTCCGCCACATTGTCTGCCCTATTTAATGGATTGACCACTTCCACCATAAAATAATCTCCTTCTTTATGAATTTTCAAATAACTCGCCAACCACAATTGACTTGACATGAATAACGCCAGCTTCGGCAGGTCTCACTTACGCCGAGAAACGCGCACATCATCTTAAAACACCCGCATCTTTTTACCAGAACCACATAACAATAAAACTTCTTATCGCAAATGGTCAGATATCCCCATTTCTATCACGAAAAATTCGAGCAGATCTGTCTTACTTCTAGCATCCTATTGAACAATTTACAAAAGTGATTAAATTAAAATCGAAAATTAGACATATACACAAATTAAACCAATATTGGGAGTACAAATTCAAACGAAACGATCACACTTTATGTTTATTCGTAAAAACCCTCCAGATTTACTTTACAAAATTGAAATATTTCACATACAGAGTGCCCCAACCTTATTGAAGGTGCGAATACCAAATTAGCGTTTGTGTAACGTAGTTTACACAACAATAAAATAGGTCTCTGAACTTTTCTTTCGAATTAATAACAATTAAATGTACAGAGTGTTCAGACATTCATACCAAATTCCTTAAAAATTCAAAAGGGTAGTTTGTAATTACGTCTCTATATATGTATAAGAAAGCTATTGTAGGATTATTATTCGCTTTAATTTAACAAAACCATCAAGCTAATAAATGGTACTCTGCTGCAAAAAAAAACAAATAAATTTCACGTTTAAAACTATGGTAAATATTCCGAATGTGCGGAAACTCGTCTAAGAAAGATTGCGCATTATGCTTCGTGGTATTCTTCATAGATTGCTACCGAATATGTCTTTACCAAAACTTAACAGGCCCAAGTTATTAGAAGCAACCCATGAAGTGAGACAGTTTTTTCCTATCTTCTTCTACAGTTTTGGCCCGATTGTTTTCAAATTGGTGTCGTCGAAAAGATCTTGTAAACGCGCACAGCTCATGCGTGAATTTTGTTTTTTTTTTCTATGGGCGAAATTAACCACTTTTTGCAAGGCACACATCTTCGGGGAGTAATCAACCTTGGGCGCTGAAAAGTTTCTTAGAACTCGAATCGCGGTCTCTCTTTCTCCTGTCGCCAAGTCGCTCGAGCTATGGAGAAGTTCCCCAAAAATTAAGTAGTATTTTGTGAAGCGTCAAAATTGGCTAATAAAATACTGGCCTGCCACACAAAATGCGCTGAAATCCCTTAGATTTCACACGAGGACTTTTTTATATTTTCACCATTCTTCAATATCAAATTTATGCATTCAGTTGAACAGTATCAAAAAATCTGTATCTGTTCAAGTAACGAAATCGGCAAATTTCGGTTTTTCTGGAAGTAATCGGGATTTTCTGGTTTTCTTTAAAGCATGATAATGAATCTTTAAATGTGCATCTTTTCTCTAGTTTGACAATCATTGTATCTTCTATGGTTTCGGAGATCCCCTTATCGGGACACAGTGGTCAGTGTGTATGTCGTAGCCTTTTAGTAAAATCCGTCGTTTCACTCCTATGATGATTTCATGAAACTGTGGCACAGTGTACTTTCTAGGGCCAAGCGATTGGGTTCCCTTCCCCATCGTGATCAATAATACATGGTGTCCCTTATCGATCTAGAAGAGGAGGAGAAACTAACCCACACGTCAAATTGTCAGGGTTTCACTAAATCACTAGGATTTTCGTGAAATGACGGATTTCACTAAAACATATACAAATTTGCACAAATTTATTCGGATCATAGGATTTCCCAGATAAAAATCGACTCGGCTAACCGCCGTTGAACACCATTTGTCGCTAGAAAATGGGCAATGAAACGAAGCATTTTGAGAAATGCTGAGTGGGTCAATTTATGATGACGAATTGATGAACAAACCTGGGGACCGAAAAACTTTTTTGTGATGGCACACCTTGACCTCACGGAAATTTTTTTTTCTTAGCTACGAGTAATCCTGGCGCACACGGAAGTTATACTACCTAAACGTATTGTAACGGAAATGTGCAAGGACAACTGCACACATTGTTCTAAAATAGAAGACAAGATTGGCCATCTGCGACGAACAACTGTAGAGAGTGAGAAATGGAAGCCAAGTGAAATCAAAACGGCCCAAGAAAACGACCCAAGTATAAAAACTGTTCTGAATTGGATGCGCCACGGTAAAAGACCAGGCTGGCAAGACATTAGTGCCACAAGTCCTGAAGTAAAGAGTTATTGGGGCCAATGGAATAGCCTGACTCTGAAAGACAACCTGTTGTATAGGACCCTTGAAAGTGAAGATGGCACCGAATCGACGCTGCAATTAGTAGTACCTAGAAGCAAAGTGTCGGAAGTATTGCGAAAATTGCATGACGGCGCTTCCGGAGGACACTTTGGTATTACGAAAACGTTGCAAAGGGTACGTGAGCGATTCTATTGGGTCAACCGTAAAGAAGATGTCCGGCGATGGTGTCAAAAATGTGAGTTATGTGCTACTGGAAACGGACCAGTTTCCAAGAAGAAGGCACCCATGAGGCAGTATAACGTTGGTAGTCCGATGGAACGAGTTGCTATCGATATCGCAGGACCGTTTCCCGAGACAGATGGCGGAAATAAATATATCCTAGTCGCTATGGATTATTTCACAAAGTGGACTGAAGCTTACGCCATTCCAAACCAAGAGGCAGCAACAGTTGCAGAAGTGTTGGTAAAGGAGTTCTTTACACGTTTTGGTGTTCCTATAGAAATCCATTCAGACCAAGGAAGGAACTTTGAATCGGCTTTGTTCCAAGATGTTTGTCGATTGGTAGGAGCCAATAAAACCAGAACAACACCTTTGCATCCTCAGTCAGATGGAATGGTGGAGAGAATGAATCGAACGATGGGTAAATATCTTTCAAAAGTCGTGGCAGAACATCAGAAAAATTGGGACCAGTACCTCCACCTGTTCCTTATGGCATATCGATCAGCCGTCAACGAGACCACGGGTCAGACTCCTGCCTGCCTTATGTTGGGTCGTGAGCTACGCCTTCCATGTGATCTCGAGTTTGGGCGTAAACCCAATGAAGAATATGTCGCAGGTGAAAATTATGTTGACCAACTAAAGGCGAAGATGAACGACATTCACGACTTGGCTAGAAGTCATATTCAGATTGCCAGCGATCGCATGAAAAATCAATACAACCTCCGCTCGCCCAATGAAACTTTTGAAGCTGCAGATCTGGTATGGCTGCACAATCCACAGAGATGAAGAGGTCTTTCTCCCAAGCTACAAAGACAATGGGAAGGTCCGTATGAGGTGATCAAGAAAATAAATGACGTGATATATCGTATCAGAATGAACCACCGGAAACCGAAAGTTGTCCACATTAATCGACTCGCACGATATGCCGGATCCAACAACAACGAAGAAGTTAGAGGTATTCGAGAAGAGGAACGCATCTTTGGGATCGAGCCAAGCTTTAACGATTTTATGTCAAATTACGCCCAGCGGAAGAAAGCTCGATTTGGCGTTACTCAGGAAATTTGTCAAAATATTTTTGAGCTTCCGGTTAACGTTTCCATCGCCCATTGTGTCGCCGAAGACCTTCGCATGGGTAGAGGTATAGCTTCCGTATTCCGGAAAAGATTTGGAAGAATAGACGAGTTGATAAAGCAAAGACCACGAGTGGGTAAAGTACTGCGCTTGGAAGATAGTCAACGCTCTTTGTTCTACTTGGTTTCAAAGAAAACGTCAGAAGGCAAACCCACCTATGAAAACCTCTGGTCTGCTTTAAAAAGCTTAAGGAAACTCATGGCATACTATGACATAAATAGCTTGGCGATCCCGAAGATTGGATGTGGTTTAGATGGGTTGGACTGGAAGATAGTGCGAACCATGATCGAAGTGATTTTTAGAAACACTAGCGTTCGAATTACAGTATGCTGCTTCGACCCACAGGGGACGACCCTCCGCAAAACTGTGGACTGTTACTTTTTCAAGAAAGGTGTTTGTCGAGCAGGCTCTGACTGCAGATTCCGACACGAGGCATTAAAAAGTAATACTAACGCAGTTTCTGAACGAGACGTCCAGAATTAAGAAGGGGGCAGTGTAACGGAAATGCTCCAGACATGACGTCGCCTTTGGCGCTCTGGAATAGGGCTGGGCGATTACGGGTTTGAATAATCGATAATCGATTATGAAAGATAATCGATTACACTGATTAATCGATTAATCAAATAATCGATTAATCAAATAATCATTTAATCAAATAATCGATTAATCAAATAATCGATTAATCACCTAATCGTTTAATCAAAAGTCGATTGTCACATACAAGGAGTGATAAATATCTGTTTGTATGCATTAATACGTTAATTATTTAATAATAAAAATAAAAAATAATTCCATTACTCTTTTCATCAAATCGTTCATTACTAGGCAGATCGATTAATCAATAATCAACAAAGTGTCCCTGGTTCGAATCCGGGTTCGGGCATGGATATTTGCAAATGCATAGTGGGTTGGTTGGTAGAACAGCCTTGGCTGAAACCCTGCCCATTTGAAAATGAAGGTCAAAAATAAAAATAAATAAATAAAAATAAATGATTAGGCAGCTTACTCTCCGATGAGGTGTGCTTTAGTTTTGATGATACAATCTTAATTCATTTTAGCTGCTTAAAGTGACGTTTTAACATCCGCTATAAAATAAAATAATACTTGTGAGCTGTGAGTGCTCCTTTTTGCGTAAACTGATGATCCAGCTAATAATAATCAATTAAAATTTACTTAATAATTGATTAATCAAACAATCGATTAATCAAATAACCGATTAATCAAATAATCGATTAATCAAACAATCGATTAATCAAATCAACGATTAATCAAATAATCGATTAATCAAATAATCGATTAATCGATTAATTTAATAGAATAATCAAACCCGATTATCGATTATCGTTTGATTATAATCGATTAATCGATTTTTTTGCCCAACGCTACTCTGGAATTTTCTACGCGCGCGATAGTAATATTCGAGAATGTTCGGGACTTACATTGCTTGCGTGTATAAATGGTTGCGGACCGAACATCGCGGAGGCTACTACCGAACGAGTACGTAAACATCGAGCGCGGATATAAATTGCGAAGTGTGAGTGATATAAATAATCGATATAAATTGTACGGATTTTATAGTGTTTTAGTTCTGTTTAATAAATATTGATATAAATCGAACCCGAATTTATAAATCACGTTACAGTATTCTACTCCAAGAAGCCCCTAATTTTAAAGCATACGTTGTGAATAAACTTGAACTTTTTAAAACGTTTGGTAAGCGGGGTGTTGTCATTGGATTGGGGGATGTAATTTTATATGTTGCATCATATTTGGTTTACTGGGTGCTATCGAAACGTTTAATTAAACCAAAAAGCTCATTAAAAGTTTAAAGTCAACCCCCCATAGCAATTTGCAAGCATGGCGTTCGGCTCGAAGTCAAACTGATTAAATTTCGCTGGGAATCGATGATTGAAACAGAAACTCCCTAGACGTACCTTAAATCGGAAGCTTTTATACCTCGTATAAACGTACTCCCACGCTTACAGTGATTTTCTTCAATTAATTGTCCTTTAGTTTTTCACACTTATTTGTGATAAGTGCGATTATTAGTTATTGACTTGCGAAGACATTCATATGAAAGTAGTTTGTGACATATGAATTATTACAGACATTTCTCAAGTGTGTTTACATACTTAATAGTCATCCTACACAGTTAAACACTTAAAGGATTTTTAACTATTTTGTTAAACATGTGCTCATTTAACCTTTTTGTTTCAGTTACGAATAATATAATAGAAGAAGCGATATATTCCGGTATAATCGATCCAAGTCCGGAATGGCACACGTTAAACCATCGAGCTTTAAAGGCGCGCATTACTTATAGGGTTAGGGTGAAGTGTGACAACCATTACTACAACGCTACCTGTACGAAATTTTGTCGGCCCCGGAACGATAAGTTTGGACATTATCGATGTGATTCGAACGGTGATAAGGAGTGCATAGAGGGATGGAAAGGAGTGAATTGTGAAATTGGTAAGTACTCTAATTGTATTTGATAACTGAAGAATCATTCATCAATTAACGATGATTCGATATCGAATGGAAAATGTGAATCTTTATGGACATGAACCATGGCGTGTTTTATTCGATGAAACATTTCAAAGAGATAGTTAAATGTATTTAACTGCCTTCTGCCGTAACTGACTGGTACTTTGCGTTTTGTAAGCACACAGCATGTAACGTAGCTTATTAGAGCTTACTTTACACCCAGCCGTGTTTACTGCTAACTTAATAGGAGTTTTGCTGCCTCAACATGACACCGATTGACTGCCTATTGGCAATCGATGCGATAATGCACATGCAGACTGCCAATGCACGGCTGTATTTCACTTTTATTAGACAATTAATTTCAAATAGAAATCAAACAAACGTATATCATCCTTGTATATCTGTACAGTTTATACAAGTTTGCTCAGTATTTTCAATTCACTGTCAATTACTCTAGCGAAATTAAGCTAATTAAGGTAAGCACGATGAGAGAAGTAATACTATGAATTTGTTACAGCCGCTTGTAAAACTGGTTGTCATCCAGTACACGGAAGATGTGATAAGCCGGGGGAATGCAAGTGAGTATCTTTAAATATAGGCCATTCGCATTAAAAATATTGCCTACTAAAGAGTCACGATATCCAAACTACCACCCAAGGAGTGGTTAGTGCAAAACTTCATCTAGATATACCTTGATGTACGTTTTGTCTCATTTTTCGTTTTCGTTTTTTGTTACCTTCAAATATTGTTTAGATCCCTTCGTTCTATGGCAGATACGAAGTGTTTGTAAATAAATTTCCGTTATAATTGCATGCTACGCCTACTAAATTTATAATTAAACTAATTCTCGTTAACGTTACTCACGGTTTTTTAAAGATTATAATCGAATTTGTGATTTTAGCTTACGTTATAATTTGCTCGTCCTTCCATTTTTGTACTGAACCTGCATGCCTATACAAACGAGAATTTCTCTAACGGGTTGTTGCCCATTATAATAGTTTACGAAGGAAAATATGAGTTAAATCATATTTAATATTCGAATGTTGCTAGGTTTCTTTATACTATTGATCTTCTACTCTAATATATTATTTCTTTATTTGATCTGCTCTGGATATGCATGGTCAATCTCACTAAGCTTCATATTTTGCACACCATCAGTTGCTTTTCGTCACATTTTTTCTCATTTGTCCAGTATATGCTTAGTTACAAATCAATCTATACCATAATCTATACATTCTTTCTCTAATACAAGGTACACATTAGATGTTAACGACACTTGATTTTGGTGCGAGATCTACATCAGCACACCCCTCTGTGCCCACTGCATCCAATGTAAATTCCATAAGAGCGCCCGCCATAAAAACTATTTGTTTTTCCAAAAACAATTTTTTTAAAGAAATATTTTATAAATTTAGACCTTTATCTACAAAATGTTCGGACTATTTTTTTTTAAAAAGTTTATAGCAACTTAATACCGATTGTTTAAAGATTAGATGTTTCGCACCGATTATTGCGCTAATCTGTTTTATTTTTTTACTCTCGATCAAGACGATTTATGGAATCAGTAAACCGTCAGCTTTTTAGATAAGTTACTTCTAAACATGACCCCAAAAAATGAAATCATAATTTTTGTAAATAAAGTCTGTATCTTGGCGGGCGTTAAATCAACAATTTGAGTGTAACAAGTGGCGCCGCTGCACAGTGTCGGTGGGAACTAACTAAGGACCAAAGCAAGAATATCATCTTATCTCTTGCAGCTATAATCATCTATACACTATAATGTAATAAAGTTGCGCTTAGGTAAAGAAGACTCTTAAGGTTGTAGGTTGTTTGCCCAGAAACAATAAATGAAAAGCTAGTTTGAACTATTTTGAAAGTAAACGATCGAGCGTAGAAAAAAAAACGTACAGAACAATAGAAGGTCTAGTATAGATCTCTGAGAAACACCACTGGTATTTTGAAAAATCAGAGGTATAACGGTTAGTTACATTACAAGGGTTGAAGACCCTTGTTCGTACTAAATAAAATTGATCCTCTACGAGCTGGTAAACACTTTTCTATCACAATTAATTTTACCCACGGCTAGCTCCGTAATGAAATTTACCCAAAATCGTCCTGGAACCTTCATTTTCATGCCTCCTTTCTGTCAGGAAATTTGAGTTTCATGACAGAGGCAAAGCAGACTACGTTTCCTGCCGCTTGTCACTTTATTGGCCTCACCGATCACTTTACCGGCCGCATCGTCACTTTACCGGACGCATTTGTGACATTTCTGATGTCTATAATGACTCCTGTCATCACTGACAGATTGAAATTAATCAAAAGTTTAAATACAAATTGAAATGTTATATTCAAATACGATTGCGGGCAAAAATTTAATACAAAACTCAGTAAAATGACATTACTTAACTCGGAAATTAAAATACTCGGCCCCAAAGGGCCTCGCACTTCAATATTTCCTCGTCAGTAATGTGTCATTTTCCTGACTTTTATGTCAATAACTATTAAATACCCCTTACCTTGTGGAAATTAGGACTTTTATCTCCTTTTTAAGTATTAAAATCGAAACTTTACGCTTTGGTTTGACTGCAAACGAATAGATAAGTAATTGAATCTATTTTTTCTGATAACCCCATCTCTAAAAGTTTTATATGCACAATACGCCCCTGCCAATTTTTTACATATTTCCACACGCCCTTTAGCTAAACACAATTTGAAATGCACAGCAACATTGTAATGAAATAGAAGTTCTCAACTAATGAAGAAATACCCAAATTCCTTTGTATGGGTCCAATTATAATGAACATCCGACCAATACTTTATACAGTTCAAAAAAATTAAAGTACAACAGATATCGTTGGAATCCGTGTTTTCTTTAGGTTATAACTGGTACGGCCCTCCCTTGAAAAAATTTCCCTCCAAGAAAAATGGAAAACTGGATTGCTTGAAGGTGATATAGTTGAACCCTTTTCACACTTGCTCTTGCTTAAAATTGCTTCTGGTTGTATGAACCTCGACCTGATTCATAACTGGCACCAAATTCTCGAAGAAGTAACTCGATTTGTTTGCCAAATTATTAATATTTGAGTTTTTCCGTACGCAAAATGCCATTTTAAATACGATTTAAGCGATTCTCAACTAAAACTGTCCCATCAGTTCTTCGAAGTGAGGTCACTAAACGTTTGTTTAATTTGCCTTTTTAGTTTAACTTTATACGTTCGTTATTTAAAAATTAACTTTGTCCATGGAACAACAAACAACTGAGTTAATATCACCTGCGATGATAACAGTTGAATATGTTTACGCGCTGAACTAAAACGAATGGTCTTTTATTGGAATTTTCTCCACTCTAAAATTGTGTTTTTACTTCCCACGATTCGCACAATTTTATACACGAGCTTAACTAGGCTCTACTCCAATTCAGACCCACAGACGCTTTATAATGGTTCCGCGGGCTATTGCGATCCCTCTTCTCTCTTTAATTTCCTATATGTATGTCGCCCAGTAAGAAATCGAAGCGGAAACAAAGCAAATGCCGCGGCTCTGTGAGCTAATAATCTGCCATATCATTTCCCTACAATCGTCCTCGAAAGATTCAAAACAACCTCGCAGCTATCCGGGGCCGCCGCGCCAACAACGCAAGCTTTTCTAAATACGTTCATCCGCTATAACCAAACACGCGTTCACGTTTCGCATGCAGCGGCACATATGTAACTTTTCCTATACTTAAATACGAATTCGAAAAATTTAAAATTGCAAATAGAGTTTTTTTGATGCATTTTCTATTTTCTTTTATTTGTCGCAGTCAAGCGTCTCCTCCAATGAAGCCACCCTTTTTTAACTAGGAATTTTATCATTAGGTCTATGACAGTTTTACTAAACCCACGCATAAGATCGATAATAAAGTTGAATTACGATTAATGCTCGTCATGGCTGCTGAATAATCTTTCGAAATTTGATTAGCGGCGATAATCTAGTACTAATTAATATGACTTCTGATTTGGCTGTCCGTTCTTCTTTCCCACACTTTAGTACACTGTTGTTTTTTTTGGGAGATGACACTGAATTGGAAAGAGATTTTATTGAAATAGACTGGAATCTCAGTGTTCGAACGCTTTCAAACCACCCTTTCGTCGTGCAGTAGCAATAGTCTAGTCTTGAGTAGTCTTTAAGGTTTTACACTAAATCCAATGTGATTTAACTTTGAGTGTATTAACAAGCGGCAGAAAGTGAGTTCATGATTTTGGACTTTCTGTCCGTCCGTCTGCGTACTTGATGACTCGCGAATGGTTTCGAATTTTCCAATCCTGTTTTCAGTAATAGATCGACAATGGTCAAGGGACTAACTGATTAAATTTCCGTCAATACTCGTCAACCGGAAGTGATATTGTCACTCTTTGTCTCTATATAGGTTCAGTTTATTGTTATAAACATCTTTTTTTTATCTTAACATCAAGCACACACCACAAAGCGAGATGTATCGGTAATTCCATATGAAGTAACTCACTTGTTCCGCCAGAAGTATCACACGCAACACTGTCCTGCTAAAAAGCAGTAATAAAGGGCCAATTTTAAATCACACCAAGCTAACATTTCTACAAAAGTGTATACAATTGGAGCTCACAAGAGAGCTTAACTAGGTAACATTGTCGGATTCTGTACCACACTAGACTAAAATCCGTAGAAGTGGCTGGAATTGAAGATCAAATAAAGGGCAAAAAGTCCCTAGAAAAGTTACTAGAATTGAAGATCAAATAAAGGGCCGAAATGTCCGTCGGAAAGCTACTAGGTAATTCTAGGCGATCCTAATTGCATTAAACAAACACTACTCGAACATCAGGTTAAATGGAGAGCGGAAAAGTTAATAAACAATGTGATTTATTTATTTATTAATAATTATGGGGAATGTCGCTCTGACATTTATAGGTAACAGTATTATACACAAAACGATCGCGAACTCCACTAATAATCACTTCGGCATCGATGTTGGAACTGCTACTAAACACGCTTAAATTTTCTTGTGTATGAAACGGAAGGTTTCTAGAAACAATCACGGAATATTCTCGAAGAGTCTTGGGGATCCTTATTACATGGAGAAATAAATGGAATGGCAGTAAAGAGAAAATGGATTAAAAAAAAACGATAATTGAACTGACAATGTGTGGGAGTATAAGAATAACGAGAGGGTAACAAGTCAAGAGCTACATATTTTTGTTTTTTTTGTGTCATATTTTTATTGATTATTTAAGTTCGTATGTTTTTGACAGGGGGGTTTGCCTAAAATGGCGAGATTATAACTAAAAATCACGTTGAAATTGTAGCAGAGATTCAAAGTAATGTTTCTTGGTTATACATCAATAGCTTTCCCTTATGGTGAACCACTTTCATCATGCAACGTAAAAACTTTGCATACTTTTCCCTCGTAACGGACAAGAACTAAAATGGAAAATATCCGCGTAGTCCATAAACGGATCGAAATTTAAATACGCGATTAAGTTAATTGAAACCTCTAACGTATCTAATAAAGGACAAAATTGTCAATTATAAATTTATATCCCATTAGCTTATATGTTACAGCGAATTGAATTCCAGAATAAAAATTCGTAAGGCAGCTAAACCAATAAATGTTCATGTCAACGTTCTTATTGTAGAAGACAAACAAACCAAAACACGGCACGTACATATTAGAGTTAGAAAACGTTGTAAGGAAGTATCTTCAAACATTAGAAACATGGCATCACGTAGGTTATTCTGCTATTTATTATGAACATGACCCTTGCCTGCCTTGCTATGTTCGGATGTATGCATTTAATTAAAGTATAAGCAGAGTAACACGCGCGTCTCTCCTTCCATTGAAATTTTACGGAAATTTAAATTGTGCTATTGTAATTAGTTTATTTGCTCATTTTTTTTTGTGTAACGGTGAACGTACCGACTAATTATTCTCATGCATATTTAAATGGTTTTTCTCACGTTTACCTAATTTGCTACGTTTCCGGACGTTTTACTTTTATGCCGTGCGATCGCACATGAAGCTTAATTACAATACCAAAATTTTTCAATAAACGTCACTGGCGATTTCTTTGTTGCATCGGGAAGTCAATACGCGATTCAATTTATAACGAGAACAAACAAAAACTAGACATCATCAACTACCGATTGAAAAAGCTCGCTTGATTTACTGAATATCTCGTGTCAAGAGTTATAAAGCTTGCCTTTACGATTTGTTAACGTATGCAAGGAACAAAAAACGAAAATAAATTTAACGGTATGATGTATAATTTATAAGTTTCGCGTTAATACTAAGTTTTCTAATAATTATGTTTATTTGTAGTTGCCGTCCAGGGTGGAGAGGTGATTTCTGTGATCAGTGTGAACCGTATCCGGGTTGTAAGCATGGATATTGCAATGGGTCGTCTTGGCAGTGCATTTGCGACACAAATTGGGGTGGAATACTATGCGATCAAGGTAGGTTTTTTGTCATTCGATAATTGCTCATAAAAAAGTGGGAAGCGAGCAGATGCGTAAGGGTTCTTCTGCAACTGTTGCAGAAATTATTTAGAAAAAAAACTTAAGTATCGTCTGGGGAGATACCCTATCATAACCATTCATCAAAACTAAAAAAACTGGAGCAACAAATATACTGGGGCGTTTAGTGGGATTATGTATGTAGATGTGTTGTTCCGGGTTGTGGATCATGAATAATAGTGCACTTGATCGAGCGGTTTGCACCCCATACTCGCATTGTTATTACATCAATAGTATCACATTAACGCGATTACTTACCCCTTTTTTGCCCTGTGTTCTCTAAGCGCTTTTTTTGTGTTGGGAAACGCCAACTTTTATGTTTTGTAGGTGAATCGTAACACGTTTAATAATGGTCAAAGTAAAAATTGTGAAAATAGCAACTAGCGTGGGATAGCAGTCCATGTGGCTTCATGGTTACAAACTAAATAATAATCTAAGAACCGGATGCCGTATTACAAATGTTACGTATATTTTATTACAACAATAATTTAGTTGTCATCAATTTTTTTGCCTAATTAAATTGAATACACAAGGAACCTTATTAAATTGTAAATATAGTCGTAATATTAATTAATCGTACGACGGTCCGGTGTATTAAGCGACTAGCATAAAGCCCTTAAAGCACTTCTTAATCCTTTCACATTCTAAATCTATAATAGAACTTCAAAGTTGTCATATTAAGCGCTACTAAGACAGATTAACGACGATGATACCTGAAGGTACTGCATTTAATTAAAATCATTTAAATTTTTCTTTATCCACGCCATGTATACAAGTCTATAAATTTCTTCTCTCTTCCAAGTTCTTTGGTGCATCAAAAAAAGCTCTGCCACAACTTTGTAAATCAGATCTGGTTTTAAATTATTGGTTATTAAAGTCGTAAAGTGTACTTGTCAACTGTATTGAATTGAGAATAAAGCGCAAGTGGAATTATTTGTTTGCGAGTTTCAAAGGAGAGCGTGTCGTCATAATCGTAAACCAACTGTTCAAGACAACGTCCATCCCCTCGTAATAAATGCACCTTTGAGATTTAAAGTAAATTGACAAACTCACCCCCGGATTCTCATGGGTTGCTAGGAAAATCTCTAGAGCTTCCAATCTGTTAGGCATTTTGGGAGCATGGGAAAAACCGCCATATTCATATTAAATCAATGATCCTTATTTTGTTTCAGACTTGAATTACTGTGGAACACACGAACCCTGTTTAAATGGCGGTACTTGTGAGAATACGGCACCAGACGCACATCTGTGCACCTGTCCAGAGGGATTTTCAGGTACAAATTGTGAAGTTGTCGACAATCCATGTGCACCAGCACCTTGCCAACATGGTGGTACGTGCATGGAGGCTGGTGGTTCATTCAATTGTGAATGCGCACCCGGATGGGCAGGCCCAACTTGCTCGATAGGTAAGCCAAACAATTTAAATGTTACGCAATAAATCCTCGGTAGGTTATAATTAAGGGAAATCTAATTAAAACGCGAAATACCATAATCACACCTACACACAGAACCTAATTAATATTATGAAACGATAGACATCTTAAAAAAACGTACTTCTAAGGTGCTTTTACAATTTTGGGCGTAAGCAAAGTCGTAGCGAAGAATGAATTAATAGACTATAGATGTGTATAAAAATAGGAGCCCAACCGGTCAGTATAAATCAGCTCGTACCTGGCAATTACCTTTCTCCCCCGCCCCGTTATTATATCTATTACTGGCAGGGAGCTTTGCGATCGCGGGGAGACTTAATTATGGCCGGACTGCGGTGCTGCTCTTCACCTCTGACCTCACATTCCACCGTTGCCACCTATGCAACATGAACATTGTTCTATCTTTATGCCTATCTAATGTTACTCTCGTTCGAAAATTACGTCTAATAAATTTTTCAATTTAATTGCTTATTAATCAAGTTTTCCCTATAATTGTGCGCGACGTTTAAATTCTAGAAGATTGGCCAAACTGTAATTATGCAATTACTCGGTAACTAACTTCCGTTTCATAATTTCGATTACCATTTTTCAAATCGTGTCGCGTCCCACTAAAGGCGAATAATTTGTTACGAAAACCTACGCGAGTTGAACTGATTTTCTTCAATTTTTGAGGCAGATTTTTTGAGATCTGAGTATTACGAAAAGGAATTTTCCGTTGGGAAATGTTACAGAGTTAAACAAACAAGAAATAGACACAACGTTTGCGATAGAGAAACAAATAGTCTTTCGCCTTGCTATTCTTCTCTGAAAATTAGGCCACAGGAATTCGCCCCCGGAATCTTCAGACAAAAAAGCTGCCGGGAGTAAGGAAAGAAAACTTATCTAGGAAAATTTGCTCACGAAAACTCCGCTTATAATATCCTCCAGAAAATGTGTCTCAAGCAAAAGTCACGTTATATTTTGGGTGCACAGGAAATTACCTCGGCTATTCTGCAGGATATTCTGTCTGTAAGAAATAGTATTTTTTATAAGATACCAATTTTCTTGAGAGAGGGGCAGGTTTTTTTAGGAGCAAGTATTCTAGAAGAATTATTCGAGCACTATTCATGTCCGGAAATTCATCGACGGAAATTTACCCCTCGGAATATTAACTGCCGCAAAATTAAGTCATAATATCCTCCCCGCGTATAATTCCTGCGGATTCGGAGAAAGCTCCGTTTTAAAAGATACACTTTCCACAAAACACGTCTCTAGAGAAGCCGCAAAAATTTCCGTTCATCTTCATAACAGGTTTACTTCAGGAGTTAATCCTAGCGATAAAGCATTCAGGAGAGTTTACCTTGGGGAATGTATGGGTCAAATTGACGGACATTTAGTTTTCTTTCGGATCCGAATATCCTGTTTTTAAGTTTTTCCAGGGTGAATTTTACTGTATACAGTAAATCTTTTGTTTGAAAATTAGTATAGGTAGGTTAGTGTCCTCTGCAATTCTCTGAAGAATTTTTCCCGGGAATGGCAGCACAAAAACCCCGCCTCACAATATTTTAATAGAAAAAGGATCATAGGCCAATCTGTTTTATTTACGAAAACTCGGCCGAAGAGTAAATTGCCCTCGACGAAATTCGCCCTTATTGGATATTCAGTTACATTTTATTTCTGTTGACATTCCTTATTTAAAATTTTATTGGGATCGCAAAAGAAAAATTTCTGAGGAATACCTTTGCGAATTCATGATTTAAAATTTTCTACCTAAATATTCACTGACACAAAATTCCTTCATAATAATCTGAAGTGTGATGCCCTCTCTATCAAAATATTCAAACAAATAGAATCTAGCGTCCCGGAAACACCCCTCCCCCCACCCGCAAAGGAAAGTCGTATTTAGAAGAACTTACCCTCAAAAAAACTTATCCTATTCCTATTATGGAAGTGTCTTAGGAGTGATTGCTTCGAAAGCGAGTTCTTGTGGTAGCATTTATCGAGGTGACTTGCTATTAGTTTTCTTGGGTATACAAATATGGGGATGCAAATTTACCTGGGAGCAATTTAATGATTTCCGAAGGGAGTTTTCGACTTTCTTCGTATTCTTCTTCCTTTTTTGTTAGCGAATGGATTAGCAAAAAGGCCCGGCTGCCACTATAACATCATCCAAGATTTACTCAAAGACCGGCCATTGTCCCTGTTTTCACGCCTTGAAAATAGGCCTCTTAGCCATATTTTCTTCGTATTCTTCTTCTTTTTGGTTAGTGAGTGGATCAGGAAAAAGACACCAGCTGCCACTATATCATCTATGGTTCAAATCTAGGAAAGAAGGTGGTGAACAACTGAACACATCTTCAAATGCTTCAAATACACCGAGCATTTGCGTGGTTCGTTCGGAGTAATATGTCAGGAAGCACCTTTACAATTAATGTTACCGATGTAATTCAGGTTTGAGATAAGGAAGATCGAATCTAACGACCAAAATCCCCAATCGTAATTTTCCCCTGGAATATTCATCCACCCTTTTCTTTCTGAAATAATCATCTCTTTAATTTTTGCTTCAAAAATATTCCCATGTAGAAATTTGTCTACGGAAATTCGCTTTTGGAATTTTCCTCTCTAAGAGAAATTCAGGAAGCGAAACTCTCGTATTTCCTTCTGTTTATGTGACAAGCTTTATTCATTACGATTCTTTAAATTCACTTTGGGATTTTTCCGTCTCCAGAATATTATGTGAATGAGGGGAAGATGTTTAGGAAATCTCGATTGCAAGTCACCCTTGGAGGCACCGTCTACAATTCAAAAATCGAAAGTTTGGAATTTTTCTATATCCCACTCGCAACTGTTATATGCGAAATTTTTAAAAAGTGATTCTCGCGTTCCTATCCTGCACGGAATTTCGAAATAACAGTCTTCCATACAATGCTTTTATTTTACTTGGGTGGTTACAGTGAAAGTCCAACAAATTCCTGGGCAAAGAGCTGTAGCCTAACCTTTTCTAATTATTTATTAAACATCTTACTCCCAAGCGACATTTGCATTCTTATTTTTAAATAGCGAGTCTAATGATCGAAGGTATAGTAATAAAGCTTTACGTTCGCAATAACTAACATCGAATTAAGACATTAGAAAATGTAAGTGAGTATGTACCACTTCGACCTCACCTAATTCATTAACATATTCTCGCGATTAAATAGCGCAATACGAATTCATCATGCTTTAACAATAAAGATAAATCGCGCTTTAGTGAACTCCATATTCGTTTACCGTATCTAACAACTTTGCCTTTATGACCGATGATGTATTGCTTGTAGATTAGGTGAAACTAATACTAATATGGATATCTTGATCAAATATCGATTAATTAGTTTTATTAGATTACGCTTTTAAAAGTATCCTAATCAGCAAATTAGGCCCAATTAGTTTTTAATTGGAAACGTTTTTACTATGCATGTTATCGGTTTGTAACTTCGTCTTCGTTTGGGCTTTGAAAAAAGTGTTTTCCAATTTGTTATATGCTTAGTCAGCTTCACTATAATAGTAGTTTTTTCGCAATTAAAGATGTTATTTAAAGCGTAAAATAACATATTTTTACGCTTCTCTTCTAGTTAACTATTGGCCTTATTCTATTGGCAACTCGCATAAATAGAGAGACTCTGTTCGGACCTGACGTTGAAATCTCCGTTTAATATTTCCAACAGAAAGGTTTCGCTTTTGTAATTTATATTGTCGTGTTTTGTAGGTAGATATTAAATTTAAAAAAAATGGAAAAAACTAAATTAAACATTTTAACAAATATAGTGGCTCCAACAGTAGATAACTACTACTTACTGAAGAAGTCGGGACAAGATTCATTATGGTTGCCGGTAGAAAACGCTTTCAACCCGTCATGAAAAAACTCAATTAATTTAGGTTCTTAGAAAATAACTGACCTTTAAAGGTTTTAATGGCGAGTTACCAAGAGGCGGTACATCAGCTAACGAATTATCTTCTTTTAACCTTTTTCGGTTGTGTATTACTCGCAATAAAATTAAGATATTCATTTTTTAATACGAAAATAACATTTTGAGAACGTCACTCAAGTTTCAAATCCATCAGACTTCAACTAAACCGATACCGTTAGTTTTTAGCTTATTAGTAACGTTTGGCCTCCTATAGCGCTCTTAAATAATCTGACGTTGCCTTAATTGCTTAAAGAAAAATTCACGATTCACACGGTAACCTCTTATCGTATACAGGGAATACTTTTTTCTTAAACTCCTGTAGTGGATCCATCAATTTACTACAAGAAGAAGTGGTTTTTCGGGTATAAAACAAAAGCTGTAATCTTTCTTAAGAGTTTACTTCTCCTGTTATTATATAAACTGAGCCCACTTTAGATAGTAGGTGAGAGATTTATATTAACATTTAAGACTTTTATGCTCGGTATTTTAATTTTCTTAGTTAACTGCCTGTTAAAAAACAGAATTAGGTATAAAACAGAACCCAAAAGAACGATGGCCGCGGTTATTTATTGAAGAACTCGGTCCAAGGTACAAAGACAAAATTTTCTACGGAATTAAAACACCACAAAACAAGTTTAATTTTTATATGTAAAACTATATAACAACTTAGTTTTTATGCAAATTTATGACTCGCAGGGATTATATTAAGATAATTTACGATTCCTATAGATAATGGTACCTTATTCTCATAATTTATATCCTACCTTATGATTAAATTTACTTATCTTTAATTGAATTAATTGAACGGAATTTACATATCGTAAAATATGAATTAACTAATTATGGAATTTCTTAATAGAGACAATAAAGGTCCGGTGTTAGTGTCTTGTGGAATGCCATTAAATACATTCCTTTTTATTAATAACGACAGATCATAATAAAACGTGGTAAGTTAATATCGTAAAATGTTGAAATTATTAAAAGTAGACGGTCGTTACGTAGCGTAATGATAACATGTTAGGATTACAAAACTTACAGCGAGAGCTAATTGTTTACAACTTATTACTGGCTTCCATTTATTTCCATTTCGTGGCGGTGAGAGCTTTTACTAGTAGAGTTGGTAAAGAAACGGTAGGTATTCTTCCAATGGAGCTACTAATCTAACGATCTGCATTAACCTGTTTAGATTAAAAAAACAAAGAATTGGTATAAACTTGCGGAAAAAGCAATTTGTAAAATTATCATTTTATCAATAGAGTCAAGTCAGTCACTGATTTTAATTATTTGGAGAAGTGAAGCAATTAATAATGTGGCGGGTTGACATCTTAACTGAAAGGCGACTTATTAATTGGTCGCTTGTGAGGAATTCAAGGCACTTTTATTGAGAAAACTTGTTTTTTAGTCGATCTCTCAGGAATTAGTTTAATAGGCAAAGTTGATTTATTTATAGGAAAGGTTGCTCTTAATGAGATTTTCTGTAGTTCTTCCTGATGTTTGTCTTACCTTATAAAGCGATTCGTAATGATGCGAGTGTGAAGATTGACTAATGATTTTTTTTTGCAGATGTGGATGAATGCGCTTCTGCCCCATGTCAAAACGGAGGAAATTGTGTGGATATGGAGGATGCGTTCTCTTGCAAGTGTCCGGCGGCGTGGGAGGGAAATGTTTGCCAATTCGGTCTGTAATTGGGAATGATTGGGGAGGTTTGGGAATGTATGTGGTTTTTCTTCTAGATGCCGATGAGTGTCTGACAAATCCTTGCGTGAATGCACTATCGTGTACAAATCTCGTTGGCGATTATCATTGCAAGTGCCGAGTGGGTTGGATGGGAAAAAATTGTGATCAAAACATCAACGACTGTGTGGGACAGTGCCAACATGGGGCGACATGTATCGATCTGGTCAACGACTACCATTGCGCTTGCCTACCTGGATTTACAGGTAAGTTTATCCCACGTGCTAAATATTAAAAGTCGGAAGGAGCGTCAATAATTGTATAATTTTCATTTCTATGTGAAATCGTGAACTACTTGATTATTTTAACGCTCTCTTACAAAACAGCATTGCGTCTTTCTCACTTACGATACGTTTATAGCAAATCCAAGCGAGTGAATTATAAATGTTAAGTAAAGGGTAGATGTTGTACAAGTATTTTATGATAACATTCGCACGTCAACTACGGTTTTAATGACACATTCTTATTCCACGTTTCGCACGAAGAATTTCAGAACGATTCAGATACTTACACGAATCACAGTAAATCCGCATCTGAAGAAAGAACACTTATCTTGCTCAGATCTATAATCGTAAAGTACAGCGACCTCATTAAGAACCGACTTCGCGATATAAAATCAATTTTTGATTATCGGCAGAAGCGAGGTACTTACTCTCTTTTTTTTCAGGGCGCGATTGTGCAACCGATATCGATGACTGCGCGTCCAATCCCTGCAAAAATGGTGGCGAATGTGTTGATCAAGTCAACGAATATCGATGCATTTGTCCGGTAGGATTTACAGGACACGAATGCGAGGTAAGTGATGTTACAATTACGTAAGTTGAACATCGGTGTGTATTACGCCTATTAAAATAATGAATATTTACTCATTTCCCGAGGGAATGGTCATTAGGGTGTGAATAAGTAGGTAATAATTGCAGACGCCTGTGGGGACATTTAGCGCGATAATCGACCACATTTCAATAAAGTTGTTAAAATGACAGCTGCCAAGAGTTAGGGCGTCTTTCGTAGACACTCCTGCGGGCTATTTTCCTGTTGAACTACTTGTTTTAAGAGCTCTTCTACCGAATGATCAAGTGATCCAAGTTGACTGTAGGCGTTGTCTTGAATGACTAATTAAATACTATTCGTGGCAACTAATTATTACTTGATGTTTTCCATTTAGACCATCAAAAAATGAACCGTTTTTATTTCAGAACGACTACGACCATTGCAATCCTGATCCATGCGAAAATAAAGCGCCTTGCTTTAACACGCAAGCAGACTACTACTGCCACTGCCCGGAAAAGTGGCAGGGAAAAAATTGTAGCCTTCCGAAGTTAGTGTGCGATCATCCACCTTGCGACAATGGTAAGTGTTGGCCCACGGCTCTATTATTCCCTCAACGGGGGACCATTGACATCCCGCTGAGCCCCAAATGAAACTAATCCAGTTCTTGTCTTACGTTGTAAATACATTCTCAAATTCCAATACTCGCGAAATGTTCATTAAATCAACAATTTCTTTGGCCTTTTACAGGGTTCGACGGTTGCGCGGTGGTGTCAGCGGCTGGAATTAACAGAATTTCCTCACCAAGCGTCTGCGGCGAGCACGGACATTGTGTTCATTCTCTTGGTATCGGTTATCACTGCTCTTGCCAGCCTGGTTACACCGGAAAATACTGTCACGAAAGTAAGTCACATTTCCACCCCAGTTTACGCATTCTAACCCCAACCACTTCAGACATCAACGATTGCAAAGTAAATCCTTGCGAAAACGGCGGTACCTGCGTTGACAAAGTGAACGCCTTTCAGTGCATCTGCAAAGAAGGATGGGAGGGAGCTTTATGCAGTATAGGTACGATATTCTCCACACGTTAAAATCATTTTAAATTATCGTATTGGTACAGATGCCGATGACTGTAATCCCAACCCCTGCCTCAATAACGGCAACTGTAGTGATAGAATTGCGGATTTCGAGTGCCGCTGTCGTGATGGTTGGAAGGGAAAGACTTGCACGTTGAAAGATAGCCATTGTGATCATTCTACTTGTAAAAACGGGGGAAGCTGTCAAGATTTGGGGAACACATTCGTTTGTCGCTGTCCACCTGATTGGGAAGGTTTGTACTGCTAATTATTACCTTCAGGGCAAAAGGTAGTCCCGTCGGCTATGTAGATTAAAGCATTTCATTTGCGGGAATCTGTTATAGCATTGAATAATTAAATTCACTCAACGGTTATAGCATAGACCTGTATTTGGTCTATATGGTTATAGGTAGTAGGAGAGAAAAAAACGCCAAGGTTTCAGACCGGAAGTTGTCTGCTCCCTGTTGAAAGTGGTGGATATTCGTTTTTATGTTCCGAACGTTTTATCTAATTTTGTCTGAACGTAGAGACTATTCCTCGCCATATGCGTAAATCTGAACGATCACCTATTATTAAAAGTTTACTTGATTGTTCACCATAAAGAAAAGCAGGTATATAGGCAGAAATGAAAAGGACTATTTTGCTTAATAATTTATAACCCTATAACCCCTAGTCCCTAATAATTTTCCAATTCTTACTGATTTGTTCGACTTTTCGGTTTCTTTAGATTAATCAATCTTCAGATTATTCAAATTCCTTCTTATGTTTCAGTTTCGGATCCATTACATTCTTGATTTTTTGTCATTTTTCCGATTCTTCACTTTCTTCAAACTCTTTGGATTTTTCAGTTTCCGCAAATCTGTCAGATTACACAAACTTTTAACATTCTTCGGATTATTCATTTTCTGATATTTCATTAGAATTTATAAGTTCTTCACATTACGATCCTTACAATCGTTTCTTTTCTTCAAATTAATTTGTATTCTTCACTCTAAACGCTACAATTAATTTTTTCAGGTCTTCAGCTCCACATTTTTCGAATTCAGATCAGTTGAGGATTCTACATTTTCATTGAATTTTACTAATTTTTCAGACGCTTTAAATCCTTTACATCCATGAGAGTTTTCAGATGATTTGGATGGTTTTGCTTCTTCTATACTCGTATTTTTCCGGTTTTTTAGTTTCAGATATCTCGGATTCTTCTATTCTTTACTTTCTGTATATTCATATTTGTTAATTAAAAAAAAATATATGATACGTAATATGGCCTTTTTTGCCCTAGAAGTTTAGTTTATAGTGTCTACATTCATCATACAGTAGGTAACGGTATTGCTGATAACAACAATATAGGACGCCCCGTATAGGATGCCTACTAACGGTTTTAGCAAAATAGGCCGCGAGACCGCTATACTAGATTTTCCGCCCTTTCCAAGAAGACTGCGCTCTGTTAAAACTAACTTGGTCTGGAAACCTTGAGATTTTTTTCACTAAACCGCAACCCTTCCCTCAATTGAAATCCCTTAATCATTAGTAGTCTACGTCTACGGAATATCTTTGCGTCGGGACTGCAGGGGAAGGGAGTGAACGTTGCACAATAGCGTTTTTTTTCAGGAACTACATGTCACATAGCAAAACAAACAGCATGTAGGTCAAATCCCTGCCAGAACGGTGGGACCTGCGTAAACACCGGCGAATACTATCAATGCATATGTCGCGATGGTTTTACGGGAAATCATTGTCAAGAGGACGTCAACGACTGCATACCACAACCCTGCTACAACGGCGGAAAATGTATTGATGGCGTTAATTGGTTTTTGTGTGAATGTGCAAATGGATTTACTGGACCCGATTGTAGAATAAACGTTAATGATTGTGCATCAAGTCCATGTGGGTATGGTGGGACCTGCATGGATGGTATTGGTGAATTTCAATGCATTTGCCCACCGGGACGTAGAGGAAAAATGTGTGAACGTAAGTTTCGTAACCGAACATCCACGTTCACTCACGTTATTTTAATTTTAGTGAAGGATATTACTTACTTACCAGTACCAGGCAGCTGCGCATGGCAGGGACACAATTTGGAAAATAACGCCACGTGGCAACATCAATGCAACACGTGTGTTTGCGCTAGTGGAATAGTGAAATGCACCAAAATCTGGTGCGGGCTCGGTAATTGTAGAAGCACAGACACGCAAAACGTAATCTGTAATCCGAACCAAGTCTGCGTTCCATCTCCTGCCGAATCTTGCCTGATTCCACCGTGCATGCCTTATGGCGAGTGTAGGGACTTGGAAAGTGGCAGACGCGTTAAACCTCCTTCGTTACCTAGCCCTACCACTTGCTGGCCCAACCAAGCTGTACTTAGCAACAATTGCGCCAGGTTAACCCTCTTGCTAGATCGTATAAAACTTCCGACCGGAATCACCGTTGAAGGTTTATGCAGCGATTTACGGAGGCTTTTAGCAAACTACGAGGCAGCAAATGACTATCAAAACGAATTGGTTTTATTGTGCGATTTGAAAATGGACTACAATGATACAGTTGAGGTAACACTGGTAAGTTAATTGTACTTTAAACAGGCCATTGTGATTGAGCGTAATTTCTTTTACAGTCTGGAACGGAGGGCGTGTTGGAAGGTATTAGAATTTTAGGTGAGGCAATCTCACGAAAACAAACGTCTCTACTCGCATTAACATCAATAGTAGAGGTGAAGGTGGAAACGGCGTTGGTCTCGGAAGAGCCACCTTCAAATAAATACTTAATAGCGCTAATCTGTTTTATTTTAATCGGTATTTGTGCGGCGGTGGTGGCTGTTCTTTTGTACCTGCGTCAACGTAGACGAAACTTAGGACTCAGCGGAGTCAACTTGTCACCGTCGTTGGATCCTTGCCATAGAAACCACGAGGACGAAAAATCCAACAACTTACAAAACGAAGAAAACTTACGTCGCTACGCGAATCCGCTGAAGGACGACGTTGGCAGCATGGCGAGCCTAAGTAGTACGAGTGCGTGCGGGCTTGATATTCCTAAAGTTAGTATCGTAAGACCATTGTCGACACTCTTGCCACATGAAAATTCGAGTGAAATGCTCGAAATGATATCGGAAGCGGACTGTCCCGGTTCGAGAAAAACGTTGCACGTTGCGCCGAGTACAAGTGCCGACAATAACACGATAAAATTAAACGACAGTTTAAAACTACACGAAAATATAAGACTCAGTGAGGGGTTAAAGCCCACCCATCGTAATAGTCAAATAATGCTTTATAAAGCACAAAACGCCGACGTTCGAAAAAACACTGCCGCTTTTGACGATAGTGTAGCCCATAAAGACTTTAGTAAAAGTGTTATTAATGTTAATAAGCAACGGACTACTCAACAAAATACAAATAGTGCCGATGTACTCACAGTGTTAGTGTAAGAGGTAACCAAGCAGGGGCCAGTGTAATATGAACACTTTATTCTTAGGACATCCAAGGCTGTTATTTTCTAAATCTTACGACTGACTTTTGTATTTTTGAGGAACTTGTAGCTAGGCGATTACGTGCAGTAACTTCAGTGTCTTCACAAAAACAAATGATGTGAACTACTCGTGATATTGATTAGAAACATGATCTCGTGATGATATATATACCTAGTGACGTGGACAAACTTGTGTTTGTTGATAGTGTGATATTAATTAATAATTTTGATTTTGTTTTTTTTATTTTTTAAATTAATATAAAGTGACAGTTGTTACAATCTAAAATTATTTAAATTTAAACATTGTCGATGATATGTACATACGTTTTGTTTGTATCTATATTTATTTTGTTGTTCCTGATTAGCTAGTTATACCTATTGTCTCACTTTTACAGAAACGCCCATTTTTGTTGTTTTAAGTTACCTAACTATTATAAATGTTGTTTAGAGCGATATAAAAAAGTTTATTTTATTTTGTGAGACAGTGGGTATACCGAATTAAATTTTGCTTCCATAAACTTTCATTGTTTTTTTTTCGTTTAATAGTATAAAATAACATTCCTACTATCAGTAAGTGTAAAAAAATTATTACAGTGTTCCTAAACTAGATTTTTGGGTTATGACAAATGTAAAAATCGGAAAAATTGCTGATTTGATTTAGTTGCATATTTTGTAAATATGTAAATAGGTGCAGATTGTGAAACTAAAATTATGGTATTGTAATAGAATGTAGAAAAATCAAAGTACTTACGACGTGTAGTTTTTCATTGCAAAAACAATAGTGCCTTTGAAGTGCCTAGGTTGTACGAAATCTTATAAAAAGAGCAGAGACAGATTTGTACTGGTCTGATATTTATTAATAATAGTTGGAGAACTCCACAGCCCACAATAAACTTAAGACGGTTTGTAGTGTACACAAGTATTATATAGTTTCTATTTAAGTAATTTATGTATATTTTGTAAAATAAATAAAAAAGTGTATTTTAAATATAACGCAATATACAAGAAGCTTTGTAAGTACATAATGAGAGCTTGTGAATTTAAGGATTTAATAAAAGTTGAAATTAACGTTTTAATTAATAATGTCTCTACCTGAACAAACCAAAATACGTTGGAAATAGAATTACTACTATTGTGAAGAGGAAAAGTCACCAATCCTTCTATCTTGAATGAGGTAGGTTTAAAAATAGAATCAATTACTCCACGATTATCCAGATGGAAAATTCAAGAAAATGGGGGGAGGGTAGATGTCCTGGATTTCAAAAGTGATAAAAAAATAAAATACCCAACTTAGCTATAGGTATGCGATGCTTGTTTTTACTAAAAGCATCTAGGGTTACCCTTTAGAGAGAGCTCTTCATAATTCGCGCAACTTTAAGGACGCGTAGCGCCGAATGCTTGCGTTTCCCGACACGGGTTCCTTATGTCAAAATGCTTGTATTTGTACCCTCAATCACACCTCAAAATATCTACATCGAATTTACTAACACCCTGTATTCACCAGCGAATAGGTACTAAGATTTTATAATAAATACCATCAAAGCTGGATTCTCATTGAACATCAGTATTGAATTCTTTATGCTTATTAGATAATCGAAATAATTTGTCCAAAACCTGCGTGAAGTCATCGCGTAAGTAGGTACTGAATTTGTTTAACCCTCTCCTTAAACTGGGTAATTGGTTTGTTAATGCATAGCAGTCTTGCAATTTGCGCCATAAACGGTCCTTGTAACTCGTAGATTTCGAAAATAGAGCTTTATCTTCTTCGCTAGGCCAAGTTACTTGCTTTAATAAATTAAATAATGTAAAAATATCGATAACTACAAAGTGCAAATCATTCATTGGGGCTATTGTGAATATCTAGCTGATGCCTACACCTGTATACTATATAGATAACATACGTTTTCGTTAAACGGAGTTGTAGATATACGAAGGGTAAAAGATTGTACAGAGAGAATTGAGATTTATATGAACTAAAAAACCTAAAATCTTTAATTGCAATTTACAATCAATTAAATCAAATCAATTATTGTCAAATATATTATTAATTATTCGTTATACCCCAGAATCCGTTTCAATCTAATCAACCATGCTCTGCTGCCAATTTGCCCGTTTGTTCGTTTAATGGTAAATTAGGTAGATAGCTACATAAATATATGGACAGCGTCACTTACCGGTAAATGTGATAATCATAAGTATTGTTTTCCCGGCGGCACACCGGCACTCAGTCACTCTCGTTTTGCTTCCGGTGACGATTGGTAAAAAGGAGGGAAAACACGGAATTGAACGAACGAATAGCCTTACTCGTAGATTAAATGTTTTTTAAATCTATGTCTTATTTAACACGAAAGTAGGTACATTCTTTTGGATTCCACGTCGTTAATAACTGGCTGAAAAGTAAAATAAATAAAAGATAACTGTCTGAAATTTTCATTGGACCTTTTGGAACTCATACATACCGATGTCGGAACTGGTACCAGATTACATCAGGTGTTTTAGGCCATTTCCAGTACGAACAAATTTTCTCCATTGCCCGACGCTTCGCACTGGCGGCGTCCATTTCTAATACCCGCTGGATATAATTCATCATAGTATTTAACAAAGACGAAGGAACCAATTTTGATGTCGGATCCAATATTTGTTGCACATTCTTTGGTTGGGTGGCAGGTGAACGCTTTGGTTAATTTTCTGTTTTTCTCGATTTTGTTTCCATTTGTTTTTCGGAATTCTTCATTTTGTTTCCTTCTCGAATTCTCTACTTTTCTTTTGTTATTATTTTTTACGCGCTTTCTTTCTTTAGCTTCTGTAATTTCAATCCATTTGCTGGAAGTTAAAACAGAAGACCAGAGATGTCCACTTTCCGCGCCTTTTCTTAGTCGGTTTCGGATTTGGATTGAAGAGAACCTCTTGCAATGCCGTACTTATATATTTTCGTCACGGTTACTAAGTATTATTTTAGTTTCTCCTTCATTTATTTCGGTGGTACTCTTTTTTGCTCTTCCTGCTTTCAAAACTATGTTCTGTAAAATGTTCACGTTACTTTTTCTTGCCGTTTTTATTTCATCTGGTACCACAGTGATCTCGTGAAGATCGTGTTTAAGATTTTGCACCCGAAACTTAGACTACAAATTATTAATGCGTCTTCAAATTTTCTAACTGCGATTCCTTTCTTTCTTTTGACCCCTTCGTATTTCTGGTCGTTTCCTGATGAACTTCTGCTGTAACAGTAATTATATCTCCATTAAGAAGTGCATCTTCCTTTGCCAACATAATGTCCTGGAATAAACCGTCCCCTAGATTGTGGCTGATTCGACCCATTCGGGACACGGGAATCTAATTTCATCTTCATCAACATTAACTTATGTTACGTAAACTGCGTAAACTGGTCTGTTGGATGGTCGATATTTGTTTCAGTTGCAAAAGAGCTGTTTCCTGTCTAAGGGATCTTTTACGTTATTGCTACTCGTATGATTGTCTGCGGCCATTCTTTTCACATATCTGGTGTAATTTACACCATCCTTATGAAAGGGGGACAAACCGGTGGCACTAAATCCAGATATTAGTATAATGGAGTCGGTAAAAATTTCCTCTTGAAAATTGTATTCATAGCACCTGGAACGTCTTTTTTAGGAATAGTAAATCCGCCATGTTCATACATCCACTTTCTTGTGAAAGTATTTCACTTCTGCTTCAAAGGCCGGAAAGCAGTAACATCAAGTGGTTCATAATATGAGTCGCATGCGGTGGAAGACAAACCAGGATGATTTGATTACCACGGTAGAGAAGTTTATTATTGCCTTCGCACCTTATACCCCTCGGCGCAAATCTCTTGTGGTGGAGACGGTTTGTCTTACCTACATTTACCGCTGACATCTAATTGGTAAAATGAAATTGAATAAATAATATAGGTAGGCAAAAGTCATTGGCTAGCCCTAGTCTGTTACAGACATTGTAGAAGTTACACTTTTACCTCTATCTTTGAGGGTAAATTCGTCCTTTTAGCCTCTGAAATATCTGGCTTGACAGAAGTGTTTCTTATCTATTGCATGATTTTATAAAAGTTGTTTCAGTCTGTTATAAATATAATTGCAGAGATCGTAATTCCACTGCTATCTTTTAAAGGTAGTTCTTCCCTTAACATGCGAATATATAATACCTAATAATATAAAAAGTGTTTGTGGCTTCTGTAATTACATACAGGGTGACAATTTGAAACATTTGAAAAGGTTCGACAAGAGTTTGAGAATAGATTATAACTGGCGATCAAAAATGAGTTGCTGTCGAGTCGGCTTTGGAAGTTCAAGTTAAATACGATTTTCCCTGTAAACAAAAATTTCAAAGGGCGACTCGACAGCAACTCATTTTTGATCGCATAGTAATACTGTCTTACCAATAACGGAAAACATTTTGAACATTTATTGAAATAAAAGCCAACTTTAGAAAATGTATCACATTAGTTTATTTTTTGATTTGCACGATAATTACTAACCTAAATGTAATGCTATTTGGTATGGTTGGAAAGCATTTTTTCAGAGCTTTCCAACGACGTATCACACATGGGGGGGTCACTATTTAAGATTTAAAAGTTGGGGTGGCTGGGGCGCAGGGGGTGTGAGGGGGTGCGTCGCCAACTATGTCATTGTGATTCCTTCCCCTCCGACTTACCGAAACGGATTTTGATTTTTTTAAATATCTTGTTCATTTACTAAGATATGGGGGGGTGGTAAGTTTTCAAATTATCACCCTGTATAAGTAAAGGAATCCCGAATAAGCTTTTCTTGTAAAATTTAAGGGGAAGTTTGATAATTTTTGTCGTTTTGTAAGGTTTTTGCATGCTCATCGTAGTGAATTATATGTTTTCATTACGCTCCGTATGAAGATTTGAACTCTTACCTACCTACCGTTCCTGTGTTATTTAATTTAGAATTAGCGATCTCATATTTTAGGCTTACATGATCTTAGTCGCTCATTTATGGAAATCTACAATTCTAATTAGAGGTATTGATGCCTTCCAAAAAGTTTTAAAGTTATTGAGATTCGGCCAAAAGAGGACATTTTTAAAAATATCATCAGTAATCCTAAAGTAATTGATAAGACATTAAATACGTATGTAAAATAAACAATTACTACATAATATCATAGTGGATAATATATTGATATTGCGTGACGAATTACGAAGTTCAAATGCTATGCGTAGCCCCATAACCTTGCTTTTCTAACGTAATCAACTCGAAAAAAATAATCTGTATTTCTTAATTCCCGACTATCTGTAATGAATGGGAAATGGTAATATATTGACACGCGTGCGACATCTAACTCTTTAATTTGCTGTTTTTGTTCGCTATGAGTTCGTTCGTTTTGCATATTGGCCTTCTTCGGGCGTTCAGTAGATATTACTTCCATATTCCTCATTAAGCGTGATCCCTTTTCTTCGCCAAAAAATGGTCGTAATCAATTTTACAGACGAAGACTGGGTTTTTTGGCTTCTTTTTTGAGGTGGATATATCTTATAGGTCTTAGTGAAACGTCCACGTTTTGTTGGCTCTGAAAATTCTCCAAGAATCACTGCCATTGCCATCATTCGTCAAAGCGCTCTTCTCCACCAGTTTCCGCTCTTGAGTAAGGAGTCTGGGAATCCATGGAGCAGACACTTTTTCCATGCCCAAATCTTCGTGCATAATCTTGAACCCTTCAACGCACCAGAATTTTCATTCGTTCGATCAAACAGCAGCGAACCCCAACAATTTCTATGGATTCATCAGTTTTTCCTCAACTCCAGATTATCACTCAAGCAATTGGTAACGTCATTATCAAGCTATAGGTAGATAATTTAACGACGACCATGTAATGATAGCGGTTATTCACTCGGATTACCCATTAAAGCGAATAACAGCCATTACATGCGAGTAAAATTCTATATTTTATCCACGACTGTCTTATTTGGTTAATTTTTTTAATTAATTGTGGTGCATGTAACTGTTGTTTTATGTGCGAATCAAGTTCATCATGTCGCTAAAAACTCGCCAAAGCTGCAGACAGTGATAATATATAATTTATTGTTATCATCA